GTGTACTTTGTCAATCTGGCTGTTCTGCTCCTCACTCTGTCTCTGGTAAAGACTCTCATCACCCCTGCACCTCTGGCCTGTACCCCAGTTCTGTATGCACAAATAAATAAATCTTTAATAAAAAAAAAACCTACAATATGTTATTCTTATAGGCTGTTTGTCTCCTAATTTCTCTGGGTTTAAAATCCTACTCATACTCAAAAAGTTGAGAATAGGAACTACCAGCCTTAGAAAGATTTCTCCAATTACATAAACCTTGTGGTTCCCAACAACATTAACCCTCTGTGTTCACATGTCAAGGTGGTTTCTGAAAGTTGGTGGGGGGTAGATTTTCACTCGATGGAATGACTGTTGAGTGCTACAGACATTGGGCATATTGGGCAGAGTCCAGAAGTAGTAAGCATCTTGCCATGTATGGTACAGCTCTACACAGTGCCGCTGAGATAGCTCAAAAGGATCCTGTCTTGATTCAAATAAATATTTACCAAGCATTTATATGTACAAAGCATTTATATTTACAAAGCATTTATATGTACAAGCAGATCTTTAAGATATTTTAAATTTACATTTTGGCAGAGAGAATGATAATTAAATGAGCATTAGAAGTGAATATGTTAATAGTGTTTTCTAGTTTCATTTCCACAAGTTTATTCCCACTATACTAGAAGTCTTGAGTATATTTGTCTAGCTAGTTTATCATACTTCCTCATTAGTTATGTATTTTTAAAATTAGTGTTCATTTTCCTATACTAAATTAGAAGTATCTTTGAAACATCCACAAGGCAATGCCACAACAGCTGGATAAATGTTCATGGAGCTCAAGTCCAAGCTTCAAAGAACTCTAATAGACAGAGTCTAACAATGGAAAACCCACGTGTGTGTGTGTGTGTGTGTGTGTGTGTATACACACATACTATATATATATATATAACTTTTATATATAAAATAGTTCATTTTTACATCATTTTGTGCATTTTTCCATCTCATTTGCAATCACCTTGGGCTTCCCATCACAATCATCCATGTGCCATCACCATAGTCCAGTGCCATTTCCCTCCCCACCCCCGCTGTTTTTGATCCCATCCCCCACTCCCCCCCACAAATTGTCGTTGGTATATATATAGCTGTTCATCATTATCATTATTTTCTCGCCTGTTCCATTATACTCCTGCTATGAGAGAAACTATCTGGTATTTTTCCTTTTCTTTCTGGCTTATTTCACTAAGCATGATCTTTTCCAGTTCCATCCATGTTGCTGCAAAAGACATGTGTTTCTTCTTTTTTTTTTTTTTGGTTGCTGAATAATATTCCATTGTGTATATGTACCACACCTTTTTAATCCAGTCATCCATTTTTGGGCATTTGGGCTGTTTCCATGTCTTTCTAATTGTGAATAAAGCAGCAATAAACACGGGGGTGCAGGTATCTTTTTGAATCAGTGTTTTTGTGTCTTTTGGGTAGATACCTAGGAGTGGGATTGCTGGGTTGTAGGGAAGCTCCTAATTTAGCAGTTTGAGGAACCTCCAAATAGTTTTCCATAGTGGTTGTACTAGTTTGCATTTCCACCAGTAGTGCAGGAGAGTTCGTTTTTCTCCACATCCTCACCAACATTTGTTGTTGCTAGTTGTCTGAAGATGTGCCATTGTCACTGGGGTGAGGTGGTATCTCATTGTGGTTTTAATGTGCATCTACCTTATTACAAGTGATGTTGAACATTTTTTCATATGCTTGTTGGCCATCTGCATTTCCTCTTTGGAGAAGTGTCTTTTTAGCTCTTCTGCCCATTTTACTTTATTGTTGTTGAGTTTATTTTATTGTTGTTTATTTTTGTTGAGTTTCATCAGTTCTCTGTATATTTTTGTGATCAATCCTTTATCGCTAGTTTTGTGTGAGAAAATTTTTTCCCAATCAGTGGGATGTCTGTTTTTTGTAATTTCTCTTTTGCTGTACAGAAGCTCTTTAACTTGATGTAGTTCCATCTATTTATCCTTGCTTTCACTATCGTTGCATTGGGTGCTCTATCTTTAAAGGTGTCGCTGAAGTGTATGCTGTGTAGTGTTTGGCCCATCTTTGCTTCCAGGTATTTTATGGTTTCACTTTGAGCTGATTTTTGTGTATGGTAAGAGGTAGTGATCTAGTTTCGTTTTTTTGCATGTAGTCTCCCATGCAAACTTTCTTTGTGCCATTGTATCTTCTTTGCTCCTTTGTCAAAGATTAGCTGTCCATAAACCTGTGGGTTTATATCTCGGTTTCCAAATCCACTGCTCTATATGTCTGTTCTTGTTCCAGTACCATGCAGTTTTGATTATTATGGCTTTGTAGTATAGCTTGAAGTTTAGGATTGCAATGCCTCCATTCTCTCTCTTCCTAGTCATGAGCGTTTTGGCTATTCGAGGTCTTTTGTTGTTCCATATGAATCTCATCAATATTTTTTCTATTTCTTTGAAGAATGTCATTGAGACTTTTATTGGGATGGTGTTAAATCTGTATATTGCTTTTGGTAGGATGGCCATTTTGATGATGTTAATTCTCCTGATCCATGAGCAGGGGATGCCTTTCCATTTCATGGTGTCTTCTTGACTTTCTTTTAACAGTGTTTTGTAATTTTCTTTGTATAGGTCTTTTACCACTTTTGTTAGGTTGATTCTTTTTGTTTTAATCAAAAAGGGATACTTTTTAAAATTTCTATTTCTTCTGATTGGTTGTTTGTGTACAGGAGGCCTCTGACTTTTGTGTGTTGATTTTATATCCTACTACCTTGCTAAACTGGTTGATGGCTTTGATTAGTTTCTCTGGAGTTTTTAGGGGTAAAATCCACTTTTTAAAAAGATTTATTTATTTATTCGTACAGAACTGGGGTACAGGCCAGAGATGCGGAGGGTGAGAGGATTCACTAGAGACAGAGTGGGGTACAGAACAGGCAGATCG